TTCTTCTGTTTTTACCCGATCTCTTGCTTCCTTTAGTTAAGGGGATTAAATTTAGTCCCACCCTCAGATTCTCCCTCAAATTGCACTGTAGAATGAAAATACAAGAGCAGGTCTGATTCTGGGAGAATGCCACATCCCTAAGCTCAAAGTTTCAGGACTAAATAGGGAAATTTCCTCTCCACTGAATAATTATTGTCTCTGTTCGGTGGTACCAGGTCTAGGCTCAGCACTGGAAATTTAGCAATGATTAAGGCAGAATTTGTCCTTTGTTTTAGGGAAACAAACAGCCTGGAGTAGAAGCCAGACATTAAAAGGCCAATATTCGTTTTATAATTAGTGCTAGGAAGAAAAAGAAATATTGGAACAGATGTATTTAAGATGGAGGTGCTATCTCCCTGCAAGACAGCAGAACACGCAGAATCTAACACACCTGGTAGATGATGGCAGCCACGATGCCGGGCTGCTAAGCTTGAGACCTTTGTCCCTTAACTCGCTCCTCCCTCTGAACCCTCCCTTCAGAACGCGAGATCCGCGCGGGAGCGCTAACTGTTGCCATGGGGACAGCTGCCCCTGCACAAGCGCAGATGCTGCAAAGATGGCGGCTGCGGCGGCTGCACGAGCAGTTCCTGTGAGCCCTACGCTTCGGGGCCTGAAACGGACATTGCCTCTTGTAGTGATTCTCGGGGCTACCGGCACTGGCAAGTCCACCTTGGCGTTGCAGCTAGGCCAGAGGCTGGGTGGCGAGATCGTCAGCGCCGACTCCATGCAGGTATGGTAGTGCGGCTGGGCCCCGGGCTAGGAACGTCATAGCCGCTACAGGCTTCTGGAAGGATGAGTGGACACCCTGTCGCATGATCGTAATGCGTGAACCCCCATCACGCGATGGGGGGCAGGGTTAGCTGAGGGAATCCGTTGTATGTCAGACTTCCACTATATACTAGGCGCCGTGCCGAGTTTTTTCCTTTGACCATCTCATTAACTTCTCCCCATATTACTGCTTGGTAGATACTATTATCCCATTTGCGAGGTCGTAGGGAGGTGAATCTACTTTCTTTATGTGCCCTGTAGCGAATAAGCGGAGGAGATGAGATGGTGTTTGAATCTACATGGTGGTTGACAACTAGGTATCTAATATCTTTTTGTTTTGTTTTTTTTGATATTGGGTCTCACTGTGCTGTTCATGCTGGCCTTCAACTCATCGGGTAGCGTAGTCCAGGCTGGCCTCGAACTTGTGGTGATCCACCTGCCTCAGCCTGCTGATGCTGGGATTGCAACCATGCGCCATTATACCTTTTGAAATGGAAATTGTGCCAGAGTTTGTGCTGTAAATTCTAACCCTAAGGCAGTGAGATCAAGAGACATTGGATGACACATTATAAAGTGTATTGCGATGGGGCAGTGGAATAGAGCAGTTAGGAGGCCTGAATTGTAGTCCAGAATCTATCATTGGCCACGTGGCTTCAGATTAGTCATGACCTTTATTTAGACGTTATTTTGTAAAGTGAAAAAAATGTTACCTTCCTGTTAGTGAGACCATGAGTGTTGTTAGAATGAAGAGCAGTATGGCCTGCTAAGGTCAGGCATGTGATAAATGCTTGCTGAAGCTGAGGTATTTAACCTTACTAGCTGTTATAAATTGTGAGAGTTTTGTCTTTTTCTTAGAGCTGAGAGGCAGAGAAAGGATGCTGCATTCATTGCAAGTGGGAACATTTGTGTTTGAGAATGAGTGACATTTTCGGTGAATCTGATGGAGGAGTTATGACAGCTATTTATTGAAAAGGATTTACAGTTAGGAATGTGAACGGTAAATGAAATGTTGCAGATGAAATATTTATGACTGATGGGTACTCAGCCAGGAAAGGCAGTTCTCTTTTAACGCAGCCCACCAGCCTTCTGGTGTGGTTTCTACTCTCATTAGTTTATTTGGAATGAAAAGACCATCTGCACACATTGAAGTAGTAGAATAACTCAGCAAACTTTGTTGGGTTTGTCTTTTTAAGAGGGTCTCACAATGCAGTTCAGGCTGGCCTTGAGCTCACTTTGTATCCCAGGCTGGTCTCAAACTTGCAACAGTCCTCCTGCCTTAGTCTCTCATATACTGGGACGACAGTTGTGCACCACCACTCTTAGCTTTTTGTGTGTTTTAACCTTTTTTACTTTTTGTACCAGGAATCTAACTTGGCCTCATGCTTGCTAGGCAGGCGCTGTGCTGCTGAGCTCTATCCCAAGCTTTTTGCAGTCTACTTTTTCTTTTTTTTAATGTCTTTTTTTTTTCAGTCTGCTTTGTGCTAGCTTCAGAAATGATTTAGCCCAAATTCCAACGCTGTGTTTTCCAAAATATGCAACTTCAGCGTAACTTCTTCATGCTTATGTTTCTTCTGTAATGTGGGAAGAATAATATCAACCAAACAGTATTGTGATGATCTTAATACAACATAAGACACGTAGTAGGGGCTAAGAATGTTGTAGCAGTTATTATTGACAAGATCCTAGTGCAAGCTAGGTGTGGCAACACACGCCTATAATCCCTGTACTCAGGCTGAGGCAAGAGGATTGTTGCAAGTTCCTGTTCAAGACCAGCCTGGGCTACAATGTGAGCTCAAGGCCAGCCAGAACTGCACAGGGAGACCCTGTCTCAAAAAGACTAAAACAAAAACAAAAACAACCAATCAAACAAACAAAAAAGATCCTAATCTCTGTACTTAAGGAGTTTTGGTCTGGCTAAATATGAAACAGCTAATAAGCAGAGCTACTATATGTTTGAATAGAAATATAGTATTAATAGTGTTTTACAAGGTGGAAAAGGACTGATGAGATAGTTCAGTGGACTAAGCACCTGCTTAGGCAAGCACAGGGACCAGGGTTTGATCACCAGCATCATGTGCTGCAGCAGCCCCACCCCTGATGTGCTGAGCTAGCTACCTAGACCAGGCATGGTGGCACACGCCTGTTATTCCTACACTGGGGAGGCTGAAAACAGGAGGATCACTATGAGTCCAAGTCTAAGTGAGACCCTGTATCAAATTCATAAAACAAACAAAAAAACAAGGTAGACAAGAACAGGAAAAGAGAGATTATATACAAGTGCTAGTTTGTATGATAGACTGCTAAGTATTGCAGAGTTCCTCTGAGAGAGGACAAACCAGTAAAGACTGCCATAGTCACTGAAAACTCTTAAAAAAGGGCTTAAAACGTAAGTTAGGTTTGGGTAGGTAAGAAAGAAGAAAAGGCGCACCAAAAAAAGGAGCATGAAGACTTAGGTAAAATAGTCATGGTGTATATGTAGGACAGTGAAAGGAGACTTCAAGAGGGAGATAAGTAACATCACAGTAGTATGTAGGCAGCGTTCATGTGTGAGCGTATGCCTGATGTATTGGCCTTGGGAGGGGACACACAACACATTGAAGTGTGGTGTAATAGATCTTTGTCTTGATACCTTGGCAACCTGATTAATGTGGACTTCAGTAAGATGGAATTGCTCTAATATCTAAGGATTATTCCAATCCTTATGTTCTGTAATTTTTTTTTTTTTTTTTTTTTTTTGCGGAACCAGGGATTGAACTCAGGCCCTTGTGCTTGCCAGGCAAGTGCTTATTCTACTGAGCCATCTCCCCGGCCCCCATTCTGTAATTTCTACGATTCATGTTTCGTAGTGTTAGTGGGTATAAAGGGGAAGAGGAAGATTGAATATTATGAAGGTGACAGCGTGTTACTACCTTATTAATACAAGTTGGTTACTGTGTGGGGAAAGAAGAGAATAATGTGTGCGGTGTGATTCTGGATTCAGGTTTGGGTGCCTGTGTGGGTAGTGAACCTAAAAGTCAGGAAATCGTGAGTATAGTGGGGTAGCAGCAGGACATGCCCGGAGAAGTCTAGAGAGTAGATGTTTGGAGAATGCTACAGATATTAACCCGCTCCAGGACTCATGTACTTGTTCCCTTTGCCTCGTGGAATCTGTTGTTCTATAAAGTGCTGTCAATAAAACATCTTAAGTTTGCATCTTACTTATTTTTTGCGTCACCAGGGATAAAACCCAGGACCTTCACACTGAATTATATCCCTAGCCTTTGTAATTTTTTTTTCCTGTTCTTTTATGACAGGGTCTTACTATATAGTTCAGGCTGGCCTGCAACTCATTGTATAACCCAAGCTGGCCTTGAACTTGTGATGATCCTGCCTCAGCTTCTCAAGTGCAGAGATCACAGGAATGTGGGTGCCACTATGTTCAGCTTCAAAAATAATTTTTTTTTCTAAATTTATTTGGTATAGGGTCTCACTATGCAGCTCTGACTCATAGTGTTCCTCCTGTTTTCAGCCTCCCCAGTGCTGGGATTACAGGTGCATACCACCACGCCTGGTCTAAAAACATTTCTTTTTTTATTGATTTTTGTACTGGGCATTTTTTGGGGGTGGGGCGCTCAGGATGCCTTCAGGGCAAGTCTGGTGTGGCTTGAGGATGAGGGGATCGAACCACAGCATCCTGAGCCTGCTGCTTTGTTTCATTAGGCTGTACTGAGCATTGAACTCAAGGAGCTATATCTCCAGCTGCTTTTCTTTTAATTTTAATTTTTTGTCCTTTTTTTTTAGGTACTGGGGATCAAACTCATGACATGCTTGCCAGACAGTCGCTTAAACTGCTGCAGTATATCCCCATCCCCCCTCTTTTTTCTCAAATGAATACATACAGGTTGTGGTTTTATTTTAAACATGTTTTCTGTTGTAAAAAACTGATAACATTTGTCATTTTAAGCATAGTTGACTGTACAACTCAGTGACATTGGTGAGGGGCCTATCTGGTGCAGTCTTGGGTATACTTTTATTTTATTTTTATTATGTATTTAGGGTTTATATTAATTTTTTTTTTTTTTTTGGCAGAACCAGGGATTGAACTCAGGCCCTTGGGCTTGCCAGGGAAGTGCTTATTCCACTGAGCCATCTCCCCAGCCTTTAGTATGTATTTAGTACAGGGTCTCACTACACAGATTGGACTTGTAGTGATCCTCCTGTTTTTCAGCCTCCCAAGTGCTGGGATTACAGGCATGTGCCACCATGCCCAGTCTCAATCGCTGTCTCAGTGAGCCCCAGGGGCGGGGCTGGCATAGCAGGCCGGGGATTGAACCCCAATCCCCCCTGGCCCCTGCGTTTGCCTAAACAGGTGCTTTAATCCACTGAGCTATCTGGCCGGTTTTTTGTTTGTTTGTTTGTTTAAGAGAAAAAAATAAAAAAATTTCAAAGCAAGGTGATAGGAGGGTAATAATACAAATACAGTATATATTGTTGTCTTTAAGTTAGTTCCCAAGAGTACAAGATATTGACATTTGACTTTCCAAACAATATTAGCACAAATCTTTCTTTTCAATGAACTAAGAGAAATTAGTAGTATAGCTATTTTAGCTATTGTGTG